AGTCTCGACTATAGGTCCAGTCTTTAGTGCAGACTATAGACCGTTCTATAGTCCAGACTATAGACTGTTCTATAGTCCAGACTACAGAATGTTCTATAGTCCAGTCTATAGACTGTTCTATAGTCCAGACTATAGACTGTTCTACAGTCCAGACTATAGACTGTTCTATAGTCCAGACTATAGACTGTTCTATAGTCCAGACTATAGACTGTTCTATAGTCCAGACTATAGACAGAACCATAGTACAGACTATAGACTGTTCTATGGACTAGACTATAGACTGATCTATAGTCCAGACTATAAACTGTTCTATAGTTCCGATTATAGACTGATCTATAGTCCAGACTATAGACTGTTCTATAGTCCAGACTATAGACTGTTCTATAGTCCAGACTATAGACTGTTCTATAGTCAAGATTACAGACTGTTCTATAGTCCAGACTATAGACTATTCTACAGTCCAGACCATAGACTGTTCTATAGTCCAGACTATAGACTGTTCTATAGTCCAGACTATAGACCGTTCTATAGTCCAGACTATAGACCGTTCTATAGTCCAGACTATAGACTGTTCTATAGTCCAGACTATAGGCCGTTCTATAGTCCAGACTATAGACCGTTCTATAGTCCAGACTATAGACCGTTCTATAGTCCAGACTATAGACCGTTCTATAGTCCAGACTATAGACCGTTCTATAGTCCAGACTATAGACCGTTCTATAGTCCAGACTATAGACCGTTCTATAGTCCAGACTATAGAGCGTTCTATAGTCCAGACTATAGACTGTTCTATAGTCCAGACTATAGACCGTTCTATAGTCCAGACTATAGACTGTTCTATAGTCCAGACTATAGACTGTTCTATAGTCCAGACTATAGACTGTTCTATAGTCCAGACTATAGACTGTTCTATGGACTAGACTATAGACTGTTCTATAGTCCAGACTATAGACCGTTCTATAATCCATAGACTATAGACTGTTCTATAGTCCAGACCATAGATTGTTCTATAGTCCAGACTATAGACTGTTCTATAGTCCAGACTATAGACTGTTCTATATTCCAGACTATAGACCATTCTATAGTCCAGACTATAGACTGTTCTACAGTCCAGACTATAGACTGATCTATAATCCAGACTACACACTGTGCTATAATCCTGACTACAGACTTTTCTATAGTCCAGACAAAAGACTGTTCTATAGTCCGGACTACAGACTGTTCTATAGTCCAGACTAAAGGCTGTTCTATAGACCAGACTATAAACTGTTCTATAGTCCAGAATATAGACTGTTCTATAGTCCAGAATATAGACTGTTCCATAGTCCAGACTATAGACTAGTATATAGTCCAGCCTATAGACTGTTCTATAGTCCAGACTATAAACAATTCTATAGTCCAGTTTATAAACAGTTCTATAGTCCATTCTATAGAATGTTCAATAGTACAGACTATAGAATGTTATATAGTCCAGATAATAAACTGTTCTATAATCCAGACTATAGACTGTTCTATAGTTCAGACTATAGTCCAGGCTATGGACTGCACTATAGACTGTTATATAGTCCAGACAATAAACTGTTCTATAATCCAGACTATTGACTGTTCTATAGACTATTGCCTATGATTTAGTCCTGACTATAGAATGTTTTATAGTCAAGACTACAGACTGTTCTATAGTCCAGACTATAGACTTTTCTATAGTCAAGACTACAGACTGTTCTATAGTCCATACTATATACTGTTCTATAGTCCAGACTATAGACTGTTCTATAGTTCAGACTATAGACTGTTCTATAGTCCAGACTATAGACTGTTCTATAATCCAGACTTTAGACTGTTCTATAATCCAGACTATAGACTGTTCTATAGTCAGGATTATAGATTTGTCTGTAGTCCAGACCATATATAATTTTTCACCAAAGTTTAAAAGAAGTTTGGAAAAAAGTACTTTTTCCTAATGGGTACCTAAGCCATTTACATTTAATATTTTTCCAATAAACAACAACACATCATATACATTTTCTTTGCTATTGAAGGGTGGCATTTTTCATACATAGTATATCTTTAAGATACATGTAATATTTTTTTATTTCTCTTGCAGTGAAAAAAATTATTGACAGTTGTCATTTGTATTCAATGATTCCTTTTTAGTTACACTCTTCTTTGTCATTTTCTCTTGTATATCATTTGTTAAAGTTAAAATAATGAAAACAGGGAGTATTTTACAATAAATAACATGACTTTAGTATTAAGTGTTTTAAATCAGATTAAAAATCGATTATTTTCAATTATTTTGTTACAAGTACTAGTGTGTGTGTGTATGTGTGTTTAAAAGTATTTCATTTTAGAAATTCTCAACCACTTTAAAATATACTTCATGAATGATCATCATGTGTATTTGATTCATTCATTCATTCATTCGCTCATTCAATTGTTCATTTAAACATTTAGTTTGTCATTTAGAGAGAGAGCCGTTCGCATTGATTTTACATCAAAATTTTTATTGTATCCATGTGTTGTGAAGTATCTATTCGAAAACGTGTGTGAGTATGTATGAGTAACACTTGAATGGTTTTTGGTTATTTATTAAATTGTGATTTTATTTCAACTCTACCCAGCAGATTGCAAATTCCCTTTTTCTAAGTTTTTGATACGCTTTTTACACAAACATTCCATGTAATGCAGAGAATATTCAACTGGTTATTTACTACATTTCAGGTAATCTGTAAGGGAGTCTATTGGCACTCAAGTGTCACTATGTAATGAAAAGTGTAATCAGCTGTTTAGAACTTAAAATATGAGACTATCACCCCAAACTGCAGGGCTATTTGCTAAAACGAGTGAATGTATTCTTCCCAAAGTTGTTGCTTTTATTTTGTCCCTTTAAATTGTTGTTTTTGTCATTTGTAACAAGTATTAAAGACCATTACAATAATATATTGAATTGTTGTTTTATTATATCGAAAGCATTTGCTGTAATACAATTTCACAGATTCATGAAAATGGAATTAAAGAAAACGAGGACTTTAGTGTATTAAAAAGTTTTAGTTTATTTATTTATGGTTGAAGACAATAAATTTAAAATTTCGCAAAATAAAAAGTTCAATATACTCCCTGAAGTCAAGTAGTACTTGGTACTTTTTACTTTCTTTAAGTTCATAGGGGGTATTGAAGTGATCTTTGGCATTAACGTTGTTATAATAATCTTTAAGAAATTAATCAATATATAACGTCACAAGAAGGTACCTTATGAAAAATGTACTTATTTTTGAATATAGCAAAGTCTGAGCTATAAGCCCAAGGCTATAGGTCTGTATACTGTCTAGATAACAGGCAAGTAATGATCTATAGTCCAGTATTTAAACTACAGTCAGGACTATAGTCGATATTGTGAACTATAAATCTGTTTATAGTCTAAACTATAATCGGGAATAAAGGTGAGTCTATACCCTGGACTATTAGCTTGTCTACACTATAGACCAATCTAAGATTGGACTATAAGCCAGCTTATAATCTGAACTATAGGTTATACGAACATAGTCTTGACTATGGCCTGTCTATAATCTTGACTATAGGCCTGTTTGTAGTCTTAACTATAAACCTGTCTACAGTCTTAACTATAGACCTCTCTGTAGTCTTAACTATAGACCTGTCTATAGTCTTAATTACAGACCTGACTATCGTCTTAACTATAGACTTGTCTATCATCTTAACTATAGAGATGTCTATAGTCTTAACTATAGAGTTGTCTATAGTCTTAACTATAGACCTGTCTATAGTGTTAACTATAGACCTGTCTATAGTCTTAACTATAGACCTGTCTATTGTCTTAACTATAGACCTCTATATAGTCTTATAGTTTTAACTATACACCTGTCTATAGTCTTAACTATAGACCTGTCTGTAGTCTTAACTATTGACCTGTCTATCGTCTTAACTATAGACTTGTCTATAGTCTTAACTATGGACTTGTCTATAGTCTTAACTATAGACTTGTCTATAGTCTTAACTATAGACTTGTCTATAGTCTTAACTATAGACTTGTCTATAGTATTAACTGTAGACCTGTCTATAGTCTGAACTATAGACCTGTCTATAGTCTGAACTATAGACCTGTCTATAGTCTGAACTATAGACCTGTCTATAGTCTGAACTATAGACCTATCTATAGTCTGAACTATAGACCTGTCTATGGTCTTGACTATAAACCTGTCTATTGTTTTGACTATAGAACTGTCTACAGTCTTGACTACAGACTTGTCTCTAGTCATGACTATAGACTTGTCTCTAGTCTTGATTATAGATCAGTCTATAGTCTTGCCTATAGATCAGTATATGGTCTTGAATAAGCATCAGTCTATAGCCTTGATTATAGATATGTCTATAGTCATGACAATAGTCCTCTCTATAATCTGTTGGCCCGACTATACTCTGGCCCATAGACCAGTCTATACTGTAATCCATAGACCAATCTATACTTTGGTCCATAGATCAGTCTATACTCTATTCCATAGACTTTTAGATACTCTGGTCCATGGACTAGTCTATAGTCTGACCGAAGGCAAATCTTTTCCATAGGCCAGTTGTATTTCATTTGCAATACTCAATTGCCCATTTCGTTCCTCATATCTATCCCCAGCAGCTTAGCCAACCACAATAAATGATGAGCATTGTTCGTTTTCTGTCATGTTTTTTTTGTTTGTTTGCTATTGAAGTGGTTGAATTGAGTTCATGTTTTTAAATACATTTAATTGAAAATGATTGAGCAGGGATTTAATAGCAGTTGCTGTTGAAATAGCAAAAAAAAAAACTCTAAGTATTAATATTTACAAAGGGATTAATTTGAGTGTATACTAACGCAAATAAGCAGAAAAATATTGACGATTTTTAATTGCTATTTATCTCAGCACTTAAATATTTAAATGTCAATAGACGTTAAATGGCAATTTGATTAAATAATGAAAAGAATTAATTAAAAAAAATATAACTAAACTTACCTTCATCTGCTGTGGCTGGATGCTGTTCAGCTTGTAGTCCCTTAAAACCAAAACCATTTATAAACAGTCCAATTGTCACATAATACCAGGTGTGGTAATACATTATTAAAATTTATCTTTTTTTTTAAATTTGTATAATTTTAATTAGAATTTTCGTGAAATTATGTTAGAAACATAAATTTGACTTTATATTATTATTTTGCCTTTTTTTGGGTTAACAAAAAAATAATAAGAAAAAATTAAAAAATAACAAAAAAAATATTACGGTGTTTTCTTCCTTAGAACTTAAAATAATTTAAGATTTCATTTAAATTATACTGAAATCTAACATTTAAAGGGAAAATTTCATAATGCAAAAAACCGCGACATTTTTGCCAACACTTGGGTGTTTTAGAAAGCACGTTCCAAGGATATGATTGTGGGTGGGTTTGCAGTTGCTTGTCTCAGGTCTGC